TAAATAAACGAAACGAACCCAATAATGATTATACTCTGCATCACTAAGCGCACCATCCTTGTCATGATCACAAAGAGTAAATATCCGATATAGTGCCTTTACAACTCGATTTTTTACAGTTCTTGTTCCAGGATAAAACAATGTTGGTTGTGGATGTTGAAGTTCATAAATCAATTTCTTTAAAGTATCATATTGAACCTTCATCTCACTCCTTAATTCATCTTTCCAATAACTAAGATTTGATCTGGTTGCAAAATTCTCAAGATCTGATTTCTTTGCAAATTTCTCAAGATCTGATTTCTTCGCAAATTTCTCATCGTTATCTTTATTTGTTGTACTAGAAGAATAAGAAGAAGAAGTTCTCTTAGCAACTGTAGTTTTTGCCATAGAAAGCTCTTTATCAATTAGATCTTCTACACGTTTGGATGTATTCGGCATAACATCCGTCAGATTAAGTAGATGATCGGAACCTTTCGCCATTATTAACAAAAGATTGATTAGTAGTTCGTACTCGTTGTTGTTTAAAACCCTAGAAGATGAAAGAAGAAGAAGAAGCTGGTTTTGCTTGGAAGACAAGAAACCAAGTAAACTCGAGATCGAGTTGTGTGTGGTGACCAAAAAAATTGAATGACTACGATATATATACGTATCTGGACTCTGGAGGCACAGTGGATATATTTTGATTAGTCCCACATTGATAACGTTTTGTAAATTTAATTATATTATTGTGAGAAAGGTAAATGAGCCTGTGTTCGTTTGACAGGAGAGACGGTAGGCATATCCCCTGACAGGGTCGGGAACAGCCTTCGGGCTTACCTGTTATGGTTAACACTCTCCACCTGGGTCACTGGGTTGGATCTTACCAATTTTTAGTTTTTTTTTGTTTTTTGGTGCATTCTGACATGTGGACGACAACACATTCTTTTTCTCTTTTTCACAAAGATGCCAGTTGCCCAGTTGGGATGGGAGCATCAAATGCGGAAGCAAGATGGTGCATACGCATTAACGCATATATTCTGGGAGAAGCATGATGAGGGAAACCATTTTACCTCATGACAAAGCTTATGTGCATAGACACTTTACATGAGTGAGTCTGCTAGGACCAGGACCACTAAGCCCTTCTGAAGGTAGACTACAATGAAAGAAGCTAATAATTAGGACTAAAGTAATGGATCTTATCATCTTAACTTTATAGTTATATCAATAGAAAGTTGTAGTAACCCTAAGGCCCTCTCTAACTACTTGAGAATGACTTGCCCAATACCAATCAGGATATCATATCAGGTCAAGAAACATGCCATATTGTCATCTAATTACTTAAAAAGGAAAAATAACTGGCAAAACCCACTTTTTATAATCAGTAACTCAGTATGTCGCTATAAGATTTACCATAGAATAAGAATCTGGAGTAATTGTACTCTAATCAAATCCAGCTAACTATTTTTTCAACACCTCCTACTTGAAACCCTCAATAATTGACCAAACCTCCTAGTAAATGTGGCTTCGGAAAGACCGTGCATAAAGCCATAAATAACAGAAGGAAAAATAACCATGTCACACTTTCAGCTGCCAGTGATATGCTCTCCTTTACACACTTTTAACTGCTAGTGATTTCCTTCTCCTTTGACTTGCACATGTCTTCAGCTGATTTGATAAATTTCTTTGTCAACTCATCAACCTGAGATAATACAACTCAGTAAGAGCCTTAAACAAGAGATAATACATGACATACAAAATCCCCTTTAAAGATATATGGAGCTGGTTACTCACTTCTTTTTCCATCCTCTTGATATCATCTTTTGGGATGCTTGATGCTGCTTTCTTTATTGTATCAAAGGCCTATACAACCAATGATCACATCTACTTAGACCCATATAACAACTCAAGTAGTGTAAAACAATAAATAGCAATGCAGTATAAGGCTGCGATATTGTTTCTGCTATAGCCTAATAATACAATCCATTCCCTAAATAAGGATTGCTTGCTCCAGAGTTACCTATTTGGTGTCCAGGACTATACACGGCTATTTCTAGGAGTAAGAAAGCCATCAGCACATCAGTGGAAACTTTAAACTATACTAGTGCCCAGTTGTCGCAATTAACAACCACTCCCCTATTTTGGACCATCAAAGCATTTTCTTTGAAAAAAAATTTATCAATATGTAATGGTTCAGAATAGACTTTCTAGTACAAATCATGTGCAGCACTAAAGATGATAAATTTTACAATGGTCTCCCAGGCAAGACGTGTAGACCACTGACGCTGCATTCTCATGCACTTGCACAACATGATCGATTGAAGTGGAACTATGGACCTCTTGATCAATGTTTTTCAATTAATGTGTCTTCTTTCGGTAGAAAATATCATATAGCAGCCATACAGCTGACACAACAAATAATAATATTTCGAAAGCATACCTTTTGGCGTGCTCTTCTAATACTTTGCTTGACATCTTCTGCAGATTTGCTAACGACCTTACATATAGCCTAGCACACATAACCGCACATAATTATGAGACTAAAGTATAGAAAAAAAAAAAAGTAAAAGAGA